GCGCTGGCTTAAAGCAACGCATTCTGATCCTGACGCAATGCATTATGGTTAGATGCATTGTGACCTTTCACCTGGCTGCACAAACTGGAACTGCCTCCATGACGACACACCTTTGCCCTTATTGGCTGAAGTTTAGTTACACGCATGACGTTTGTATCCCGGGCAGTTCCGATGCGTAATCTGCTATTTCTCCCGAATATCACCTAAAGCAGTGAGTACTGGTTTTCAGTTAATTTACCTGGTAAAATAAAGTTTAAATACATGACATAAATGCTCTAATAGTACACGTAAGTTAGTGGTTTATTTATTGTTAGTTACTGTATGTCACGCCCGGCTAGTCCGATCCTCGTGTGTGCCACGCCCACCTCGTTACCTCGTGTTACTTCCTGATTGTGATCACCTGTTGCTTGTTCAGTTCAGCCTGTCTTTCGTATTTAGTCCGTGTCTCAGTCAGTATTGCCCAGATCCGTCATTGTAGTGTCATGTTGGATGTTCGATGTCTGCCCGGATCCCACAATAAACCGCATTGTCCATCTTTACGGCTCTGCTTGCCTGCTCGCCTGCTCCGTGAAAAGTGACACTGTAATGTTGCGCTGCTTTATTTGTTTAATCGTCCAGTCTGTGAAGAAGGCATTCAAGTAAGAATTGCATTGTAGGATGACTCATTTCCTGGTGCGTACAATTTCTATTAGGTCAGCGTTCACGGTTCGACTTCTGATATTTAGATCGAGTTCTAGGTCAAACTGGTTTGTTCGACTTTCAAGAAATTCGAGTTCTAGTGAGTTCGAGAACCGAGGCACCACTATATTTGGATACAACAATGATGCGTTACTCTCCCTCACGCGCTCTACCTTATGAACTCGTCCTACTGCAGTAATCAGGCAGAGCGCTTTCATGCGTTTAGAAGGAGTAGGTTCACAAGGGTGCCTGAAGCAAAGGGGAGGGATTTTCGGTTGCATACTTTCAAAATACGCTGGGTTCCCCAAAATCGCATGCCCTAGCTTTAATATAGCAGATATAAGAATGCGCATATACGAGCAATTTAATAAAAACCGTGGTGTTACCATATCTTTTACTACCATTCCCGCTGGAATACTGTAAAGATCTCCATTGCCGCTCTTACCGTGGGAATTTTTTTTTTTTTTAATTTCCCCATTCCCACCGTGGATATCAGCGATGTTACCGCTTTTCCAATTCCCATGCAGCCCTATACTGCTTATCCCTGTAAATACATTTTCTTTTGTTTAATTAAATATATTTTGATACCAATTACTTTTGCGCAGTTTTTTAGCATATGGTATGTATGTTTGACCTCAACTACTTTTCACTGCTGCTATTTATACATCAAGCTCCACAAAATCTTCACTATTCCTATTAGACTCACATCTAATTTTTTCCGCAAACTTTTAAAAGATGAAATTTAGAAAACAACATATGTTAAAGTTTCCCCTAAGAAATAAAGGCCAAAGTTTCAGGCTGTATACAAGGGCAAACATCTGAAATTCTGTACCTTTTTCTGATGTTTACTATGCATTAAGAATGTTCTATGAAGCTGTCATCTGAAATGCATATAAATATCTTTATAATGCATTATAATGGCTTGCACTGATCATTATAATGCATTATGAAGCAGGGGTGTGTGGCGCAGTGGTTAGTGCTGCTGCCTCACAGCAAGAGTTCTTTGGTCCCTGGTTCAGTCCCAGATCCTTTCTGTGTGGAGCTTGCAGGGGGCTCCGGTTTCCTCCCACGGTCCAAAAGCATGCAGGTTAGGTTGATTGGTGAGCCTAGAAATTGGCCCTGTGTGAGTGTGTGCACCCTGGGGTGTGCTGGCGGCTGCCCAGGGTCAGTTCCCACCTGTGCCCGTTGTTCCCGGGATAGGCTCCGGTCCCCCCCGCGACCCCAGTTGGGATTCAGCGGTTTCAGAAAATTGACAGGTAGATGGTTTCAGGGCTAAAATACTTGGGACTAGGCTTAAATTATTCGGGGCTATAGCCCCAGGTGATCGGACATGAAAGGGGTGACACTTTTTATTAGCCACAGGAAGAAAGAAGAGAGAGGGAGATCTGGATGCCGCCGAGATACCAAAAAACTCTGACCGGAAGTCAACCAAGCCTTCAGAATAAGAGCACATCTGCCCTGAGAATTGTGATCGCTATGAACCCGCTACACAGTTATGTTTATAATACTTTATGAATGCATTACTATGCATTATGAAGGTATGTATAATGCATTATGATGATACAGTAAAATCCAGTTATAACGGACTTCAAGGGACCCGGCAAAACAGTCCGTTATATCCAAAGTCCGTTATAGTTGAGGTATGCCCAGAACACAACTACAGGACACCACTTACTCATGCCACACCATAGCAGACACACTTGTGGTATAGATTATTATATTGTACATGTAGTAATCCAACTTTACCTGACCAGATGCGTGACTATTAATAATCCCGACTAGGTATCTGCGCTGTAGGCGGAACCTGCATGTCCGTTATAGTCGAACAAAAGTACAGCTAAAAGCGGCCCTGGGGAGCAAATTGTTTGTCCGTTATAAGCGAAATTCCGTTATATTTGAGTCCGCTACATCCGAAGCTTTTTCTGCATGTTCTTAAAGGCACACGGCCGGGATAATCGGACCTCCTCCGTTATAGACAATATTCTGTTATAAACGAGTCCACTTTAACGGGATTTTACTGTATTCTTATAGATTTTAAATTCACATTTCCTCATTCCCACAGCTGTTTGTACCCTTCATCTGGTTGCCTCATCTTTATTTATGTCTACATTTTTATTTCTTAATGGCACACACTTTCTTGCCTGTGTTTTGCTTTTATTTTGTTCATTGTTTTTTTGTACTTTTTATGCCATCTCCTGCACCAAAATAGATTCCTTGAACTTTTTGTATTTGGCAGATAAAACGATTCTGACGAAGTCCCAGAATTCTGTGCTGTCCGCCACTATGCCCATCACAGGTGTGTGCACCCCTCCTCTACTCTTTCCGTTTTTTTTCACCCGACAACAGAAGATCTGTGATGTGGGAGGGAGCGTCGTGGTTGCTAGGAAACAGGGCTACAGAAATGCAATGAGTATAAAAAGGCATCAGTGTCACCAAAATTCAAGTTGTCTCTCTGTTTGTCCATCAGCAGCGGCTGCAGGTCTGTGTGAAGCTGTTAAGCGTCTCTCACGTCAGCTGTCAGGTCTCCGCAAGCAGAGCTGCCTGCGACTGACGGTTATACCCCTTATGTTTATCTCGCACGGCATTAAATCCCAGGCTTCATTTGTCATATACACAAGCACATATTGTACAATTGTGTAATGAAATGCGTATGCACCAGGATGGTGTGAAGTGTGCAAAGTGGCATGTCACCTGTAGGAGTTCAGGATAGTGCCTGAAGCATCAGAATGGAGTTTCTGCCTCATTAATAGTGTTGTGTACAAAGGAGTTGGGATACAGAGGAATAGGGCAGAGCTGCCAACAGAGTGATTCATTTGAATATCTAACATATTCATCTTAACTTTACATGTGCCATGGTTTACATGTCAGTTTTGATACTGCTGCCACATCCTCCCCGCCATTCTGCCTGACCCTCCGGTCTCCTCCTTCACGTGGCCCTGAAGGGTCACACCTGATGCTTGTTGCCTCACGTTCGTCTCTGTATTTAAGTACCTGTTTGTCATCCTGGCGAGTCCAGTCATTGATGTTGTTCCCTCATGTTGTCTGTGCCCATCCATGCTCTGCTCCTCTGGTTCTGATCCCTCACTATCTTGTTTATGTCTGGTGATCCCAATAAATCCCCTTTTATTTTGTCACAATCCCTGCCCTTGAGACTTAGTCCTTTTTATTGCGACAGCCACAGAATGATTCAAAAGAGCACAAAAAGCTGATGAGACAATTATTGGTGTTATATTTTGTTTTTCTGAATTCTGCATTAGTAAAAACTAATTAGTGTTATGTTATATTGAATATGTTATATTAAAATATAACCAAGTATACATTAATTGTCTGTTCTAAATTTACAGAGGAATGGACAGTATATAAATTAGATATTGGATGGTCACACAGAACAAGACCGCTGATGTCTAGCATTAAAATTATTTTATGATATTCTGGGATCCTTGAGGTAGCCAAACCCTACAGAGATCTGTTTTGACTATCTGTCTGAGTCCTTTGTGAGGTCCTTCACAGATGATAGAGATA